CTCGTTGCGCGACCGCCGGCCGGAAAAAAGTGCTCAAATAGAAAAGCGCCGAGCAAAAACGGAGGAGAGACAAAAATCGAGACTGCCGACCAAACCAGCAGCGCGGCGAAACAGCACCGCGCGAGCATATAGTACCCGTCGATCGCCGCTATACGTATGAACGGGGTGGCGAAGGGATGTGGCAACATACATCGCGCGGTCTCCTCCTTTTTGGGCGACGCACTCGAAAACGCAATGTTTCTCGCTCCGGCGAGTTTTCCGCCTCGTTCGTTTGCCTGGCAACGATGTGAATAATGCCACGGAATGAAAAGCTCGCTATCGCCGCGCTAGGACGCGGCCGGCCACCTTCATCTTCGTTTCCTCCTATATGCTTCGATCGATCTTTCATCGTCTCTCACTCTTTCTCGCTCTCGCTATTCACTCTCCGATTCTTCTGGCATCCCGTTTCCACTCCTCGTTTTGATTCTCTCGAGTAACGGCGGCGACGGCGGAATCGAACGAGAGGAAAGAAGGCCCTCCTTTCTCGTCTAGACCCACAGTAATCCACCCAGTCATTATCTAAAACGTTCCGAGCGGAGCTACTAAATGCCATCGGTATCTTTCTCGGTGGCCTCCGCGCGTCTCCTCTGCTTCGCCTCCTTTGCCACTGCCCGCCGTCGTTTCATCTCGGTATGCCTTCCGAGATCGCACAAATGGTCTTTTCAGCTTCGTATAGTTGTAGAGAAGTGTGGGTGGAAAGACGTAGTTTCGCGCGCGCGCGTATCGTCGCGTGATATTTGCTTGTTCCCAGGGACAAAGTGATGCGCGCGAAAATGATCACGCGAAACAACATAGAAGGCTGACGATGAAACTGCTTTTAATTTCAAGTACTGTAACGTCGCAGACATTTTCTTCGTAGGTATAAAAAGGGGCTGAAGGGACTGAGATAATATTCTAACGACTTTCGCGTAAATTTGTATCGAAAGCGAACTTATTAAACGTTTATCAAAAGCATAAAATATTAATCGAATAATAATTTTATATTATTATACGAAAGATATTTGTGAAAAATGATTGCATGATAACGAACTTTAATTCTGAGCAATTATAGTCAAATAAAAGCTATATCCTTATTGCGGATATTTAATAAGATATGTAGGAATGCACGAGGAATCGTTAACTGTATTTCTAATTTCTTTATCATTTTTATGCACATTCACGTCTTGTTATCGCTACGGAGCCAAGGTCTAAAGTGACCCGCCGATCCATTAGCATAAGGTACAGCGTCATTTCTTTATTAGAGCTCACAAATCGGTAACGTTATCCAAATTTGACCACAACGGTTGAGGCTTAATGATAGCCGAGGATAATGGCATGCGCAGTCGGGGACCGAGACGGATTAAAGGCACAGGGCCGAAGGAGGAAGAGAGACAGACGGGTGACACGAACGCGAAGTTTGATAGAGGGAATAGCTCTTGACGAGGACCGGCATTCCAGGTGCCTATTTCGGGAATGACTGGACCCGTTTTCGGGTGTCGTGTCCGCGCCTCCATTTCGCCCTTCTTGCCACCCTCCTCGCTTTGTCCATTGGAATCACGCCAGTTATCACGGTTAGTACGAGACACGCTCTTTCTCGATCTCCTCGCCGTCGGCGATACGTCGCTTCCTTCCCCTGACATTTTCGTTCGATACCGGCGCGGAGCGGCGTCCCAGCATTCGTCTGGACACTCCCGGCGAAATGCCCGAGGTTTTTAATCTCGAGATTCCCGAGTCCAAAATCACTGTTCCTTCATTCAAAAACGTGACGGTAATTTGGATGTGTACGTTTCGGCTTCATTTCTTACGTTCCATTATCCGATATCTTTAAAAGACTAATGTCCATTTCTATATCAACGCAGGTTAATTTTAATCTTGGTTTACCTTACCTGTCTTCTTTTCCTAGTTCTAAGAGTTAGAAAAAGATTAGAAAGTAAGTTAAACCGTGATTAAAGTTAATCTACATTGGTAGAAATGGGCATAAACGTTATTTTCAAATGAAATAGCGTTTGAGTTTTTCAGAATTTTAACGACACCTCTTCGTTCCATGAACACTTATATCGAATTGAGTTATTTTCTTGTCTTAATTGCGGCTATAGTGACGAGGAGACCAGCATTTCTTATTTCGTTACAATAACGAAGATAAGTTTCTTTAGTCTTCTTGTCTTTGACGTCAGATAAAGAAATATGAGAAAGGTGAATCTCCAAGAGTTTATACAGAATATTTCAAAATTACGACCATTCCTTTAAATTCTGGATTATTTATCCAATTAAGAATTGTTTTATTTTTTTGCTTAATAAAGCTTTGTGTGATGATTTATTCTTATCACTGCTCTTTCAAATTCAGTATTAAATATCACTAATTAATTATATCAAGTTAAAAGTTCTATTAAAGTGAGATCTAGTTTAATTTTATAATATATGGTTTTGTTGCATAATTATACATAATTTGAATATCCGTATTCAAACCGATATTTAAGAATTAACAACTCCGAGATAACAGTCTGTCACGTAGACTTAATTAAAAGCACCAGACACAAGATGTTTAATTAAGGCATGCGAGATTAGTAAAACAATTATAATAAGAAGCAATGTTGATTCTGAACTGGAGACAGATTCGAGGCCCTACTTATAAGTAACGAACCATGGATATTTTTGACAAAAACTGGACTATAAGCGAGCAACACACGAGTAAACGTTCAGCAGTCAATACAGTTTCTGTTTGAAAAATGGATTTTCCCGTTTGAAGCTGACCCGAAGGAAGGTTTGTTTGTTCGAAAGAGTCTTGAGCTGAATATTCGTCTACCAAATAGTCCAGCCCTCAGCACGTACCATAAATTTTCCGTTTTCGGTACAATAGGATCTATATGACTCCACTAAAAAAAAAGATGATTCTATCTTTTTTTACGTCTCGCTGTTCGTCACGGCAACGTTTTTCGACGCAATAGGGTTCGAGAGATTTCGCCGAGGGTTAAGAATCGTGAAATTAGGCACTAGCGGACATCCATACCCATATACGGCACGTACGGCATCAAAATTCCGCCGGCATGCAATATCATAGCGGTCGCGGCATCCAGCATGATAAAAACCTCGTCTCGACCAAAGAGGCAAAGGATCAAGGAGAGGGCGCAACAATGAACGGAACGGGGTGTATGTGTGGCGGGAGATGCAGCGGCAGGCAGCCATCTTAATTACCTAATTTTTTCGACGGCGTTTTAAAGCCTCGAAGACAATTACTAACGTGTACGACGAACTCGTCGGGTCTGAAAATGCGGTTTTAAATTTTTGTCCCTTTATGAACGCGGGTCAGGAACCGTTCCTGGCTATTTTTTGGGGGCTCTATTCACTCTACAAGGGCCCAATAATAACCGGTCATGCCGGCAACTCGCCTCGCCGCGAAATAAAAAATCATATTAAAGTTAAATAAAAAAAAATAATCAGGAAATACGAGTGGAAGTTTGAGCGATCGGTTATACCAGATTCGGGTAGATCGAAATATACCGTGCACCCGAAAAATTTAGGATAATCGAAAATTATTTCGAGCATGCCGATCATCTGAACGAAAATCGAATTTAATTTCGGCGCGAAGATAATCGACCCAAAAATGTTGGATCTCTTCTTCTCTCGAAAATTTCTATTGCCGGCGCGGCGCACCCCTAGTGATTAGAAACACATGCCATTAACAGCAGTTCGGATACCTGATAGTTTAGAACTTCCGGCGCAATTTCTTAGTAATGAATGCCTCCTCTTTAATCTTCTAGCCTCTTCGGCTCCAACGCCGCAATATATAACTTTACGCGGTTTTTTCCACAATTTTCTCAGAACGTGAGGCGCCGTTTATTTCGCAAAGCGCGCTGTCATTCGAATTTTTATTTCTCCCGGAATGTCCGTAAGATAGACTATCCCAAATTTCCGTCTGGCGTATATAAAAATTCACGCGTAGTAGTCAGTAGTAGTTGGAATGTCGATTCTGCCTCGACACATCGACGTATTCGTTCGATAACATTCATGCCGCCTCTCCATTTATTCTTTCTTTTTTCCTCTTTCCGTCTCTTTTGCCCTTTCATGTCGACTATACTATTCTGTTTCGATGAAAAGCTCGGCCAGTTCGGGCATAAGCGACGGCGAGTATTCAGAAGTGTATTGCAAAAATTGTGCCGATAGAGAGGCAAATCGCGTTCGAACAAGTGGCTTGAAAAATTTAACTTTGGCTGGCGCATTTCGATGTCGAAACAAAAGTCGTCTCGGTCGCCGCAATTTTCAAACGTGCATTTATCCACGGCCTTAAATACGGGATCGCGTTTGTGTTACGTGGAAAAAAAAAATAAAAGGGTAATAGCACTCCGTTCGTGAAAAGGAGAACAAATAATTGTTCTTTCTCAAACACATTCCTCTACAATGCGAATGTACAATTAAGATTAATTGGTTCGTGTGCAGCGTACCGTGATAGATGATAGACACCGAAGTAATGTCTCGAGTACCATCTCACCGCAACGGTATATTACAACTCGCGCTATTATGTATAAACTGCAGAATGTTTGGAGAGTAGATAGCGGGGAAAGAGTATAAATCATAATTATGAGCTTCGCGCGCACAGCAATATAAGTAAAACCGCCCATCAAAATTATGCCGCGACTATCAAGACAACAGAAATCAGACGAAAGATGCTGTTTAGACTCTCGTGCGCTACTTGGAGTAGTCAGATACTCTGGATACTCTGGATAATCCTATTTCAGTTCTCTCTCTTGAAACACGCCATATTCTACATCCACTGTCAATGCGGAAAACTAACATCGAACGCGCCAGGTAAAGGGGAACAATAACAGAAAAGAGGAAAATAGAATTCCATGAGAGAAATTTTCTCTCTCCGTGGAAGTGGCACGGGAACGAAAACACTTTTGGAAAACGATCGTCAAAAGATCGGCGTAGAATCTGCGAATACGCCAAGAGAGGGGGGGGGAGAACCTGGTATACTTGGTACTCACGTTACTTTCGGGCCGGCAATTACGCTTATTGCAGTCGTCTAATAACGGAGGATTGTTTTCTGCAAAAGACGAGGCGAGGCGAAGCGGGCCGTTGTTCTCGAATTATTCCGCGCCTTTGGACCTGCAACGGGAAGCATAAAACGAAATTAATGTCGTAATAATCGCGCTGCCGCATAACGTAAGTCAGCAAAGCCGCGCCCTTGAAACGCGGTTAATTCCGCAATAATTGTACTACACGGCGAATTATCGCGATTGTATTACAGGTTTCGCGATACACGCGCGTGGACAGCTTCTGAGTGTAACAGCGGAAACGGAACCGCGAAGCACAGTCTTGTGTTGTGCAGAGTGATTCAAGAGATAACAGTAGTGCTCTAAGACATATTTAAAAGATAGAAATAAAAGAGTTTCTTATAAACGTATCGTCGATACACTCAATTTTTAGCAATATTATAATAATCTGGATAAAAATAAGTAAAAAGAAAAGAAGAAAGAATTATATAGATATATACATATATATGTGAATTTATATAGAAAACTTCTTGACTTATTTATATTGAATTTTAAACTTCGTGCAAAGAATATCACTGTTTCCTTTTAAATCACTCCGAGTAAAAATACATAATGCGCCATGTCAGCTTTACAACAATTCTTTCAGGCATAATCATGCCAAAACTCGTTACCCGTGCGAAAAAACGCCACACGCAAATGCTTCATCAGTCGACATTCTCATCGCCCATTTAGCGTTAAATGCGGCAGCCCGACTCATCTTGTACTATACACGCTGAATGCGATCCTCCTGATAGACAAGCGGAACTCGTGTGAGCTCGGCTTATCTTCAGCAAAAATCGCGAAAAAAACGGTTGCGCATTCACCGGCACAAGTAAAATTTCTTTCGTCGACTTCCGAAAAAATTGCGCCCATGTGTGCGATCGTATCGCACATGGCTTAAGACATACGAAGCATATATATACGTATATATTTCGGATATATACATATAAGGTGTCTCAGCCAGCATCACCAAGTGTATTTTTGACTACAACTTTTATGATCAGTTTGAAGCTAGTTTAAAATTAATTTTCTTAATGACAATGCCGAAAAACAGCATTGTTTCACACTTTTTCAATTTGTAACCTTTATACATTATTATAATATATTAAAAATTTCAGATTATAATTCTATTAATTTTAAATTAATATTACTTAAAAAATACGATTTTTTTCGTCTTAAGATATCCTGTATAAGAAAAGATTAAGAAAATATATAATGTAAAATCGCGAAAATAGAGATAAATTTAGTTAACGTTAAAGGTTAAAGAGGTATTTAAAAATTTTTTCCATTCGTCATAAATATTGCAAATATCACGTCGTCACATTTAGCCGAGTTAACTCTCTCCGGTCATAATAATTTGAAAGAACGAGTTAAGGGACGATTGTTTCTCTGTGTTGTTCAATGACTTGTCGTGAGTTATAATGGCTCGCTATAAAAACCGATGAGTATCATTTATGATACTCGAAGACCCTAGAAGCACACACATTTGTCCGCTCGGCAGGATGTACCACGTTCGTTTTCGAGACGACGACGAATCGCCACAGACAGCATCGTCGACAGCATCGTTGTTTCTACCTACCGTCTCTCGTTTAAACGAAACACGTCCGCTCCGATACCAAACCCACCGAGCAAAGGCGAGGAAATATTCGCTCTCCGCACGTCGTTGTGAAAGCAAAAAGAGATCAGCGGAAGGAAAACAAAATCGCACAGAGAGAAGGTCCATAAAGGAAGAGAATACAAAGGAGAGAGAAAGAGAGAGAGAGACAAAAAGGGGGAAGGGGAAGTAAAGACACGAAGAGAAAGAGACAAAGAACGAAAAACGGAGGGAAAGAGTGAAAGCGAGATAACGAGCAAGTGGGAGAAGAAATGGAAACAAAAGGCGAAAGGGAATGAAGGGGAAGAGCGGAAGAAAGGAGGACGGTAGAAGGGAGATGAGGAGGGCTGCGGGCGAATGACGTTGATGAAATGCTTCTCAGCGGCGAACATGTAACGCGACCTCGGCGGATCGAGATAAACGCATTCGCGAGTCGGATTCCTGCACCATCCCCTTTCCCCTATTATCTTCCCTCCTCCTATCGTTCCCCCTGACGCCCTTGCACCCGCCATCTCGCCGAATAGCACTGCATTCGCACGACGGCTCTTCCTTTAATCCATTCGAGCTTTATCTCATTGACGAGATAGTTGGCTCGCCGAGATACATCCGAATCCACCGGTATGTACACTCTCTCCGGTCGGCGCGCCTACGATCGTTTTAATCAGTGGTTCGGATCGACTCGATTGAAATCGGCCCAAGCGCGATTGAGGCCGGCGTTCGCCACTACGCTCTACTTTACGTAAAACTGAAATCGATACCGTTCGGTTTGCTCACCGCAAAGCTCGTGGCAGGATTTCGCGCCGAGTGAAACGTGCGAAGCACCGGAAAGTCATGGCGCCAGAAACGGAAGTTAGCGTAGAGGAAAATCGACGGATCTAAAAAGACACCGGAAGCTGCAAGATTATAATCTTGAAAATTATAACGCTCTTCGAACAATCTTTGTCCTGATATAGCAAAATAATAGATAATTCTTAAGTCATTGAAAAATCTGTGTTTAGGGTAAACTCGGGTAAGATGCTTCATGGCGAGCTAGATTGAAAGAACATAGGTTAACCATTTTTCCAAGTCATTACAAGCACATTGTTACAGAAACGAATGTCGCACAAGGAACAATTAAAAAGGAAATATCTACCTATCTCATCATGTTATGTTCACGAATTACTTTAGCCACACGTAAGGTTCTTGCAGTTAGTAACTTTGTCAAAAATTATTTTTAAAAAGAGTCGCAATCCAGAGAGCCGTAATCATAATGCCGTAATTAAAGATTATTTAAAAGCACAAAAAGTGGTATTGTATGTCTGCATGCATTTAATTACGCTCTATAAGTTTGTTTTCTACGCGCGTGACGAGATCGACGAAGCGCAGAATTTTGAATTCGTCGACACCGAGAACAGCGAATCGATAAGAAGCATACGTGAAAAAGGTATTGCTGATTTCTCGGCGTTATACTGTACGCATACTAATACGTTCATTCTTATTTATAAGCTACGACATAGGTAACGTGGTGAGCCTACGTAATATAGAGATTCCCGCCTAAGACGACGGTGGTCTTGCTTCGGCGTTTCAAACCGTCGCGTTACGAGAGGGAGGGGAAGGGCGGAAGGGAGAGAAGTGCAATAGGAAAGCGTCGACTTTCGAAGGAAGGAATTAAGCAACTCGATGTAAAGGAGACGGCGGCGCAGCTTCCGCGTGTTCCTCGGGCTTATCGCCGAAAGTTCTACCCGCGAGCTCGTTTTCTCCTCCTGAGATTTGCTTAATGAGAAAAGTGAATAGAACCGTAACTGCGGCTGTGCGCGCTACCGAAAGTAGCAAACGAGCCCTGCTACCGCCTCTCTAACCGTCGTCGGGCGAGCATCTTCGAACCGGGTGTATTCCCCGTCGAAGTTACGGTCGCTCCGCTTTTTCCCCCCCGTAGAAAAACCATCCCCCTGCGGGCGACCCTGCACCGCCGCGCTCTTTTTCCACGATCTTGCCTCGAACGGTCGAGTCCGTACGAGCTTACACTGATAACGGCCCCATGCTCCCCGAGGATTTCTCGCAGCAGAGGTTTATTCGACAGTCCGCCTCACACATGTCACGTATGTGTGAGCGTGCGAGTATACACACTCACACATATTACGCTTTTTAGAATCTTACCGAACGGACAAGTTTGTACGGGAAACCTTGTGCTGACATTCTTATCGCATGGACTTTTCCTTTTCTCTGTTAGGTTCGTCAAAGAGCGCCGGAATATAGAGCATTGTTTAGACTTTAGGAAAGTGATAAAGAAATAAGTTCAAAGTTTATATAATTTTATAGGCCAGATTCTGCAATCAGGAATTTAGTACAGAAAGAATGTCTGCCTCTTTCCTGTTTTTCCGTCATATCTCGAATATTTATGAGTTATATTTTTGTGTAACTTTCATTTATCTCCACTGATATAAATTTATCTCCTATCCAAAGAAATATTCTTACATATTTATACAAATTCTAAAATATACATATATCATATCCTAAAATATCGATAGAAAATATAATCTACAATTTAGATCACTAATAAATCGTTTATTAGCAATAAACGATTTATTAGGACTAAATCATTTATTCAACTATGTATATATTAATACAGTGAAAACGAGATAAGAAAAGACAGAAATTTGCCGAAAATAATTTGATATTTGTGAATAATAAAAGCGCGATTTGATTATATCGATTTCTTAATTTAATCGCATAAAACATTTTAATTAGGTAGATGTAATAAAAACATGATTTGTTTACATTGCTGAAACATATACATGCTCTCCATTATTCAGGGCAATTGAGGGTGGGGATTTGCTTGGATAATCGAGAAACGCAATCCAAAGCACATACCGGTACTTTATTGAGGCACAAACAAACATTACTGTATAACTGTAATTTATTCGTGATATGCATAAATACACGCCCAGCGATGCTTACGAGTGGACGTTTAATACGTTCACGTAAATAATTTGCGATTTTCGTTTACCTCTGGGACTCGGTAATGAATCATTTTGTCCGAGCACGTTATTTCTCATCTTCGTTATTAGTCATTAGCAATTTACGATAACGCACGGATAATCTGGAAATAGGATAATACCAAATATGGGTAATCCAGAGTACGCTGCACATGTATTTCTGATATGACGCTATTTTAAACTACTCTTGTTGTCTTACCTTCAGAGAAGCCTGAGTTGCTTAATCAATTAAAAGAGTTTAGTATTTATTTTAATAATTTCGTATTAAGCATTTTCAATGTATCTTGATATTGCTTGTCAGGTAAATTTATAAAAAATCGTTTAGCATCTGGAAGAAATCCGGATAATAGTTAGCTAAACTAAACTTCCGCGATTTAAAAGAGTTCACGCATTCGTTTGACTGATATATTGCCAGGGACAGGAGACCTCACATAAAATGTAACATGCATTTTTAGGTTCTTAAAAATTGGGGGCTTGTATTTTTTTGTATTTTAGAGCTCGTTT